ACTTCGACGATCACCTGATCAAATCATCCCCATGCAACGTATTGCCCGCTCTTATATCTAAAAAACGCAGGTTTACAAATATAAGGCGTTAACTGGTTCCATAACTTGCAAAACACATCATATTTTAACAATTTCAACGCTTTATTGTTTCGCCGTGTAACTCGTTTCAGCTTCTTCCTCGTGTGAATAAGCACCCCCCTCGATCATATAAAAATGATCATTAACCCATCACATAAACAATAACTTTAGGGGGTTATCTAACAGTAATCGCAGTAACGGGGACTTTTTATAAAAAAAATCTGTCATTATGTAATAAACTGTTTGTGAGGGAAGGGTTATGTTGCTAATATAAATATAAATAGTGGTAATCATAAATCAAGGGGCGCTTATTCATGATAGGTGCTTATTCATAAGAGGATAAGTAAGTTATTCTTTCCTTACCTAATACTAATATTAAATATTCTCGAATAGTTTTGGTATCAGCTATTTTGAAGACATAATACAAAATACCATTTCCTCCAAAATATTACCTATATCAGTAATCTTACCTGAACATTCTAATCAGATTAAAAGTAATAGTAAGGTTTTATTGCAGTACAAGTCTTTAGATGATTCTTTAAATCATAGTTCTTCAAATCTACATCTGGAATCTACTACTCTCAATGCTAATACAAAAATAAAAAGAGAAGATCCAAATCTCAGTCTAAATCTCAGATTCAATACCTACTAATAACTCTACAGAAAAAATAAGTAGTGAGGATCTGGATGCATTGTATGAAAAAAAAAAGCCAGAAGAGATGATAAAAATAAAGCAAATATGATTCCCCTATTATAATTAGCTATTACTTAGTCTATATTTTCTTTATTCATGCTATCATCCCTAGAGGAGGTAACTTTTTATAATGTAACTTTTCACAAAGCTCATTTATTTCAGCCTTAGACTCAAGAGTAGTATATAGCAATTTTACTATTACCTTCATTCAATAAAGTGAGCAAGTGAGGTGGTGGCATGTTGTCATCTATTCCCCGTATAGATCTTTCATATTTTTATCTGTAATCAAGATTTCATTCTTAACTTGCCTGATATTGTCATATTAATATGTCAGGGATCATATCAGCCACAATAATGTACACAAAAGGCGTTTCACATGGCAAACTACAATTGCAGCACCAAATATGAGCCCACTTTTATGGAAATTAGGATTCCTGAATAATACACATACTTTTTTTTTTCTGATCATTGATATATTTTCTAGTAAGAAGTCGGGAGTTTTTTGTGGCCTTTACTTTCCAATCCTATTATGGCACCAAGTTTGGTTTCTTCAGATTCAGACTCCTCCCTGTGACATTGCATTCTTGAATTCCTCCATGTCCTCAAATTCTTCATCATAATTCTCTAACTCAGGCTCTGGCTCATCAGCATCATTGGATGTTTTGTCAGAAAAACTCTCAGAAGTTTCACTAGCCTTGTCAAAAGAAACCCATGAATCTGAAAACGGGTCATTGCCAACATACTTTCTGAATAATCCAGTACATGTTTGCCTTTATTATTATAGACAGTTACAGGACTTCACATATTGTTCTGCATTTCTTCTTTTCTTATCTATTATCTACATGAGCTTTGAGCTTTTCATTGTCTTTTTCACCCAGCTTGGTAAACCTAACTTCCATAATTCTCATATCAAAGAAGAAAAGCATATTACTAGCCAGCCATGAAGCTGTAGTGGATACTGCAGGCTGTATTATGCTGGAAGATACTTCGATTTTATAGGATCTTTATTGACAACTACAGAAAACTGCTAAAGCTGTTTTTAGACAGCTAGTCGTTTGGAGTTTATATAAACTCCAAACGACTTAGTCTAGACTATAAACGTCTCAGGTATGTGTCATGACGACAGAAATCTGACACCGTCGTCATGTGTCGTGACGACAGAAATCTGACACATTCTCGCCCGCTCTTTGACTATAGGAATGCGACACCGTCGTCTGTGTCTTGATATAGTTTTTATGACACATTCTTGCCCGCTCTTTGCCTGATGATCGATCGCTTTTTGCTTCGTCACTTGATGCCCGCTCTTTGCCTAACGATCAATTACTTTTTGCTTCGTCACTGTTGCCCACTCTTTACCTAACAATCGATTGCGATTATGCTATCATTTGTGGACCCATTGTGAGGACTATGTCCAAACCTGGCACGAAGTGCCTTAGCTTTCTGGTTATTCCTCGATGAGGGCCCGATAATGAGGCACATAGTGCCGAATTGTTAGCATATCTGATAACTTACCAAAGCATCCAATGATGAGGCACGTAGTGCCGAATTGTTAGCAGTTGTTAGCTTTACATAATTCATTCGAATATTACCCGAGAATGAGGCACGTAGTGCCAAATTGCTAACTATTATAATGCACTCGAATATCGATCACGGATGAGGCACGTAGTGCCGAATTGTTAACATATCTGGTAATACACCAAAACATCCGAAGATGAGGCACGTAGTGCCGAATTGTTATCACTTATTTGGTAATACGTAAAAGCACAATTTTTTCTTACCTTTTTCCTTATAATATTCTACCTTTGCGTATTACCAAAAGTTTACTATATTTTTCAGTTTTGGAAGCCCTTCTCGCATAGTTGGTGCCTTCGAATATTTTGCTCTATGTTAAAAAATTTGATTTCCTTTGCGTATTACATTTTTGATAACTTTTGCGTATTACTGAAAGTTTTCTATATTTTTTGCATTACGTCAAAAAATTGGATTATGTTTTTGACAACCTTTGCGTATTACATTTTTGATAATCTTTGCATATTACTAAATCGACATAAGTCTGTATAAAGCACCAAAATCGCGTGACACAAAAACCTCTTTATATGATCTAGATATCAAAGTATTAATTTTTGATTTGAATTTTTTCCCATACTTATTGTAAAAGGGGACAAAAACCCCTTTACCTAAAATATATGGCTAGTTAAATATAGTAATATCTCCCTACCCAGGATATTATACTTAACTAGATTATATTGGTTTGAAAGATTATACATACTCAATGAGAGTCATAAATCGGCTTTTTAATTCTTTTTTATGGGGAGTAGTAGGAACGCCCATTTTAGTCTCGAAATTTCGTTTATATTCCAAGAAAGCAACCTCATCCATGCTCTCGCGCTCTTTTTTCCAGTAATTATTATTATCACGTAATTCGAAGGTAATCTTGGTTCTCCATTGTTCTAACTTTTCTTGAGACATATTAAATTTTTGTTGCAAAAGAAGAATAAGAGTGTCTATATCCGATTTGTTTTTAATAAGAAGTTCTGAAGATAGAGAAATTAATAATTCGGGTATCTTTTTCTCAACTGTGCTGGTTTCACTAATAGTAGTATCGATATGGCATATATCTTGAGAAGGATACTCTTTATCTAAATCAATTAATTGATTTTGTGTTGGCATTTCTAATGGTAAAGCTTTTTCATAAATCGCATCACTAGATAAGTTAAATAATTTATGCTCTGTATATTCTGGAGTTGTATTATTGGTAATAGGAATAGAATCAAAAAGATCCTGAATCTCATCACTTACCTTTGGCTTATATGATGGAAGAACTGGAGCTATAGGGCAATATTCAGGATTATCTAACTTCCTAACCATTACTTCTTCTTTGATTATCAAAACCACGACTATTATATGGATTTCGGTTAATTTGATATGAATATTTCCAAATCTGCTGTCCTTTAGATCCTACTAATTTTCGCCCACTTTTTATGGTATAACCACACCAATTACCAACAATTGCGTTAATTGCTTTTATAGCTGATTTAAGATCTGGTATTTCTTTTGCACGAGACTTAAAACCAAAGAGTAATAAGGATTGATTTCGAATTTCTATAAATCTTTCACGAGATGTCTCAAATATAACTTTTACTTGATCACCAGAAAGAACGCGTTTATCATCTATACCAGTGAAACCCAGTGATTGTAAAAGTCCCCGTACAGCTTCCCAATGATTTGCTGAATATGTTTTACGTAAATCTTTTGCTACGGAATCCTCAAAATTATCTTTAGCATTATAGCATGTATCTTCCCATTGTGCGATATCTTTGGCCTTTAATTCTTCTATTGCACTCTCTTCATCATAACCTTGCTTGTAAAAATGAGATAGACGCAAGAAATGTTTTCTAGGTTCGGGTGGACTAAAATGTTCTACAAAATCTTTATCGCAGAGTTTATTCCAATCCTCGATACTCATATTATTTTCACTATAAAGTTTCCACATATAAAAACGCTTAAGTGCCATGGTATCTGCAACTGAACGTTCTGAATCAAGTTTAAGGGATTCAGCTTCCTCAAGAGTAAGATTTCGGGAAGTAGCAATTGTCTCAAAATCTGTATGCTTGATAACTGATCCTTCAGCCCTAATTTCATTACGAACTGTTTTACGAATTCCTATAACTTCTTGAGTTTCATCCAATTTTATTAATTTAAGATTTGCTCCTGTACTAGCAATAAGGCTACATGAAATCTCGATAAAATTTCTTGCTGAGAGACGTTTCTGATGCTCAACCTCAATAAATGATGTTACAGCGGGGGATTGATCAAGTTTATAGGAAATGCTATCTATATC